GTTTTCTTGGCAAGTTTCTTTGAGAGGGTTTGCCATTGCCATCCTTTGAAGCTGAGAGACTGTGACTTGCATAGTGTCACTCTGGTTCTTTTTTTAAATGTCTGAGCAGGAATCAAATCCTGATCTCTAGAACTGTAGTCCAATGCTCAATCACTACACATTCTTACAAGGTATGTCAATTCTCTGCCATAACTGACATCCAAGGGGGTCACACACAATCTCAGGGCTCATTTCCACTTACATTTACTCTGGTTTGTGATTTGCTTTCCTTCTGGATCGGTGAATCAATTCCAATCAATGCATTGTTCCCACTATGGAAATGGGTCTTTTCTTTATTTGCTTCTTTTTTAGCATGATTGTCATTCCCACTGGTTTGTGTCACTTCAAAATGCCTGTCAATTATCTAAGCATCATCAGTGATGCAATCGGCAACATATTCATGAAAACACGGGAGGGAGTCATAGATGCCATGGCCAGAATCCTCCCCTGGGATGCATGGATCCATAGGTGTTATGGAGGACTCTCCCTTGGGATGCATGGATCCATAGGTGTTATAGAGGACTCTCCCTTGGGATGCATGGATCCATGGGTGTCATGGAGGACTCTCCCCTGGGATGCACACATCCATGGGTGTCATGGAGGACTTTCCCCTGGGATGCACACATCCATGGGTGTCATGGAGGACTCTCTCCTGGAATGTATGCATCCATGGATATCATATTGAGGAGGGAACAAGCTTGTTTTCTGCTGCTCCAGAGACTAGGACCTGAAACAATGGATGTAAGTTCCAGGAAAAGAGATTCCACCTCAACATTAGGGGGAACATCCTGACAGTAAGGGCGGTTTGACAGTGGAACACACTCCCTCAGAGAGTAGTGGAGTCTCCTTCCTTGGAGGTCTTTAAGCAGAGGCTGGATGGCCATCTGTCGGGGATGCCTTGATTAGGAGTTCCTACATGGCAGGGAGTTGGACTGGATGGCCCTTGTGGTCTCTTCCAACTCTATGATTCTATTATTCTATGAGTGGTTGGGGAAAACTAGGGTGATAAAACCAAGAGTTTGAGGGCCAAACTTAACAGACCCCCCCCCCCGGTGCTGCACATTTTAGGATATTTGGAAACTCCAGTGGAAGCACTGCACCAGATTATTGCTGAGGGCCTCTTGGCTTGAGTGATCTTTCTCTGAATGGGGAAAAGAACACTCTCCTGACTAACTTAGCAAGAAATAATGCAGTGCTTTAACTGCCATGGCTCAATGCTTTGGATTTCTGAAATTTGTAATTTGTTGTAGCACCAGAGCTCTTTAAAAATGTCATCACTAAGGAGTGTGGGGGGGTGCGGACCACACCAGGTGACACCCTAAGGAGGGATGACACCACTGCTCCTCAAACACCTACTTTTTGGAAGAAATGGGCTGTGGCATTCATCTGCTTCCCTTTAAAATGCTTGGGAGTGGGGTGAAGCTCAGTGGGAGGAGAAAGGAGAGGCCCCAAAATTTTTTAAAATTCAAATTTGAAAATTTGAAAATTGCATTTTTTTAAAAGATGAAATTTTAAATTTTTATAATTCTTTTTAAATTTTAAAAAAAACCATCACATTTAACCTAATATTCGCTATGTATATGTAAATCCATTTAGGTTGTGCATATGATATTATAATTTGAAGGTATAATTTTAATTTTGCTAGTTGTTTATGTCACAGCTATTAGCATTACACTCAGTGCTATATGGGAATTATGATTTATGAGTAACATTAGTGCAGAAAAGCATTGCTAAGGATTCTGTATGGTCAATAGTGGGGTGACATGATGAGTAACCACACTGGGTGACACCAACCCTAGGTATGCCACTGCTCTTTAGCAGAGAAGGCTAAATATCTCACAAAAATACAAATCCTAGAATTCCATAGCATTGAGCCATGGCAGTTAAAGTGTTGTCAACCTGCTTTATTTCATCAGTGCAGATTAGACCAAGGAGGAGGTTACATTGGCCAGGCTGGCTAGGGGATTGTAGGAAGGGTAGCCCACCTCCCAAGTAATTTTCCTGACCTTGGGCTGTTCTAAGTATCTTGGAGGAGAGGATCTAAATGATTAAATTAATAATAAACAAAAAAGCACCAGTGTTAGTTTTTTAAGTCATAGGCTATTTTAAAGCCTTTGGTTGCCTCTTTTTTGTGTCCCATTCACCCCACACAGTTATAGTGTTATGATTCCACTGTAATAATCATGGCTGTGTCCTATGGAATCCTGGGATTAGCAGTTCAGAGAGGGTCATTTAGATTTCTCAGCTGGAAAGTCGATCTAGAACTTTATTAAATTACAAAGCTCAGGATTCCATGGGACGCAGCCATGGCAGTTCGGATGGAATTATAGCGGCATAACTGTGATGTAAAAGGCCCCCAAGGCTGTACATTTAAGGTGATATTAAGAAAAGAAAAAAAGAACCATGTCAACTTGCTTGTGAGTCTTCCTAGGTTCTGGGCATTGGCCTACTTCAGTGCCAGAACTCTGTTGGTTGTTTGTTGGCTTTTTGTACTTCTGATTATTAACCACAAAAACAATCTATTCAATTGTACAGAGAGGAAAGGCTGCATGATAAGAGGACTCTTCTGCTGGGACAGGAGACTCGGTGTCTACCCCTCCCCTTCCCTGTACATGGGAAACAAGCAGAGGAAGAAAGCAAACACAATGTGCTTAGTGTACTTTAAAGGGAGTGCTACGTTGTAGGAGAATCCTCTTTACATAACATCAAAGGTGTGTAACAGGAAAGAGAGAGAACCAGAAAGTAGGGAGGAGGAGAGAAAGCAAAGCAGTGGATTTTCCTCAGCACTGACAGCTTCATGTTTATTTATTTGAGCAAAAGGAGCAGATACCAAAGCAAAGACGTGCTAATTTTATTCCCAGATCAAATAAAGGAACAAGGAGCATGTTCTCATCAAAGTCAGTGATTACTTTAGGGGGAGCTAATACAATGAACATTATTAAATGAAACAACCTCTTTAAAAAGGGCACCTCACATTAAGGATTTTAGCATAAGTAATATGTTGTCATGAAAGCTCATGTGAGATGGAAGCCTTCTGCTGAAGAAGGAGGAGGGGAGGGAGGGAGGGAGGACAGAAAGAGAGGCTTGTCAGTTTCTAAAGATCCCAAGTGCTTGCTTGGAACTCTGATCCTGGCCAGTATTTTTCCACTGTTTACCCAGCATTCGTTAATACATCTTTACAGATGGATTTTCCACAGTCAAGCCAATCAATCCCTTTACAAATGGACAGGACTTAGCAGTGCTTCTTCCTGTGGAAAGCATACACATGCAGAAATACTGAACAAATGGTGCTTTGAGAAACATTTTTTTCTTTTGTTTTTTTAAAGAACGCATATGGCCCCCAACGCTGAGGCAACCATGCAAGATAATCAGTCAATAGCCATGCCATTTAAAATCAACCCAAGCAGGCTGCAAAATAACATCACACACTACACCTACATGGTAAAAGTCCTTCATGGTTTGGGTCCATGTTATCTACAGGATTGCTTCCTCCCATATAGTCCATCCTGTTAGCCTCCTTACACCTCTCCTCTTTTGATATGAGATCTGCAATAAAATGCAGGTTAATTTGCCTTCTGTGATCCTACTGTGGACACCGTTATTGGGAATCCTTCATCACATGTAAGCTACCAATAGGAGTTGCCTGGGCCCTGTTTTTCCAGACATCCTTGAGGAGGTGAGAAAAAGCCATAGGACACCATAGGATGGCACCAAGTAGTCAGTGACCCTGGCAACTTTGCCCGCTAATCCATCCTTCAGAAATGCATTCCAATCACCCACATTCACACCCCAATGTTAACACCTTTGAAAACCAACTTCAAAGTGATTCAAAGGAATCACCACCATTTGACTCTTTCTATACCCTGAATTTTGGCCCAGGACAGAAATTCCCTTTAAATATTGGTACTTTTCTTTTGTTCATCAGCTTAGTCCAGGAGCTGGCAGCATACTGTTAGTTTGCTTGACTCTGCTTCTCTGCAGCTTACTGACCCCCCCCCCCCCCAATGTGCCATGGAAGCTGCAGAGTCCTCCATCTCATCCAGGACCCTCAGTAATTGGATCCATTCAGGTGCAGTATCTCCTTGTAAGCCTTATTCTATTACCATCTAGACTTTCTTAGTCCTTGTGAATATGCATAGTTGTGTGTTGTGTATGATTGCTGATTTCTCCTTTTAAAAATAAAACTCATTACCTGTTGGAAGCCTGCCTCTGAAATTTTTAGAGTCTCTGGACTTGGCATACATAGGGATTTGGTACCAAGGCTAAGTAACCCAGCTACTATACAATGCTAGTTTCCAGCTAATTCATGATTCCCCAAAACATACATTGGTGTTTGAGTCTCCTTTTTAGACAGGTGTACAACACAAGGTTACAGCCCCATACGCTCAGGTCCTCTGGTGGATATCAACTCCAGTCAGGCACTACTAGCCTATGGAATGACCTGCTGCAAGAGATTTGATAGCTGAATATGTGTATACCTTGTCCTTTTAAATTTTACGCATATCCTTTTAAACTGATGTGTATTTTAACTGATGTGTTTTAACTGATGTGGTGTGTCTGTTAATTGTTGTTGTTCCCTACATCGATCCATGGGGAGAGGTGAATAAGAAATTGTATCATCATCATCATCATTATTATTATACCTGACCTCTTGCATCTGCATGTCAACAAACTTGTTTGCCTAAAATGTCCACCAGTGGTCTATGTTGGCCAAACAAGGCTGTTCTCAAGAAAAATTCTGAATGAACTGTAAAACTCAGGAACAGGAAGTGGATATTTCATCCTCCCTGGTTATTGTTGCTGTGTATCTTCAAGTCACTTCTGACTTATGGTGACCCTAAGGTGAACTTTTCATGGGCTTTTCTTGTCAGGTTTCCTCAGAGGGGGTTTGCCCTTGCCACACTAGGTTTGAATCACACTGAGAGAGTGTGACTTGTTCAAGGTCACCCAGTGGGTTTAAATAGCTAAGCTGGGATTTGAACCCTGGTTTCCAGAGTGCTAGCCTGATGCTCAAACCACTACACCACACTGTTCTTCCTGGACATGCCATTAAAAATAAAGGATGTAAAAATTAATTGTAACAGGAATGTGAAACTTGAAGTGACAGATCAAGAATTAATGCAAACTGTTCAAAATGTAAAACAGATCTTAGAAAAGTGCTAGGGGCTTTGTTGTTGTTTCTTGTTAACTACCCTTGAGTTGGCCTCAACTCATGTTGATCCTGTGGATAAGACATGTCCAAGCCCCCTATCCTCAACCACTTTGCTTAGGTTCTGGAGGCTCAGAACCAAAAACCATGATCCCCAATGGTGACTTTCACTCCTGCTTGACACTAGATATTGTTGGAAGAAACATATGCATTTTTTTTCTCCTCACTATATAGCTAGGGATTCCTATTTAGGTCTCTCTCTCTCTCTCTTTAAGACTGTCTCTCTCACAAGATTCTAAACTGTTAATCTTACAGTTAGTGTGAGTCTTACTGTTAGTCTAACATGTCTCTTCTCCTTCTTCTTGCTGTTTTAAAAGATGGTGAGATTTATTTCTCTATACACAAACTATCACCAGTTAGGATAGGATTTAGTTTATTATGTATTTATTTATTAAAGTCATTATTATTTGGTTTTTAAACTATAAACTGCATGTTTGTCATTTTTGGAGCAAGTGCTTATTTTTTAACTTTTTTTTAACTTTCATACTTGCATGTTTTGTTTCCCCTTTAAAAGGGTTAATGCCCTGGAAAACTCAATTTGCTCCCCACTTTTTTGGGTTATGGGCCCAGAAGTGGACCCAGTTTGGAACCAGTGAAGTCTCAGAAGAGGTTCCAGATTATTTTTAAACTGCTTCTTTTGATGATACTAAGTAAAAGAAAGATTTTTCTTTTCTATTCAAATAATAGAAAATGGCTTCTACTAGTCCTAATCCAACAATGATTACAGAAATTTTAACTGGAACAAATTATAAAGCGTGGTCATGGAAAATGCAAATGTACATGACTACTATGAGACTATTTAAAATTATAAATGGGCAGAGACCCACAGAAGCAAGAATAAATCAACAACAATTTGATGAAAATGCAGACAAAGCAGCAGCTTATATTTACTTATCTGTAGATCCCAGCATTGCTTACCATGTTCAAGATTTAACTGATGCACAACAAATATGGGACAAACTACAAAAAGTATTGAATTCTTCAAGTACTTCTAATTAAACAGCTCTCATGAATAAACTTGTTAACACAAAGTTGCATCATGCTCAATTTTTATATCAGCATATTAATAGCTTTATGATAACTTTGTCTGGAATAACAGCTGCTGGAGAATCCTTTCCAGAACATGCAAAAGATGGACTGTTTTTGGCAAGTCTTCCAAAATATTACTCTTCAATAGGATTACAAGTTAAAGGAGATATTTCTTTACAAGATGCTATTAATGAAGTTGTTGAATTTCAAAATAGGTAGAACTTGATGGAAGGCAACTATAATACAAACACAACAGACAGAGAATTAGCTCAATTTGCTGCAGATTATTTGAAAAAAAGTTTCTTTTTCTCCCAGATCAAACAACGTTAACAAGTTAAGTCCAAAAGCTGAGCTACAAAAGCTACCAAGCCAAGAGATGAACACCAAAAGCAAAAGCAACTTTAAGAAAGTAGTGTATAATCCTAAGCAGAAATCTTCCATTCATGTTGATATCAGTTTGATTCAACAACAATTATTTCAAATTGCTGGAGATAAATTTAAAAACCAAGTTTTTATGGAGCAAGTGCACATTACTTCAACAGCAAAGAATGGTTTGTTGATTTTGAAGCAAATGTAACTTTTCCTGTCTATCTTGCTAATGGTCAAAAAGTTTTTGCACAGGAAAAAGGGACTGTTATTTTGCCAACAAAACTTGGTCCTGACAGAATAGGAACCTTACAAATCCCAGATGCTTACTATGTACCAGATTTGCAAATCTCCTTTTACAGTGTGCAAACCACAACACCAAGAGGCAACCATGCCAGTTTCAGAAAACAAACCTGCTTTGGTTTTCATGGCAAGAATTTGATTTTTAGAGCAGACCTTAAATTCAAATAAAGGTGTCCCACCAGACAGATTCTCTTATCAAGCCACAGAGTAAAGAATTTCAAAACCCTCTGATTGGAAAATGATCAAGGGATTGCCAAAGACTTGCTAAAGGCAGATTTTGAGAAGTGGATTCAAGCTGCTAGTGAGGAAATGCAGTCTTTATATAATAGCAAGACATGGACTTTGTCAGAATTGCCAGAAGGAAAAAGGGCAATTGGTTGTAGATGGGTCATTACCACAAAGCTAGATGCAGAAGGGGAGATTGAAAGATACAAAACAAGACTTGAAGCTAAAGGCTATACTCAAAAGTATGGTGAGGACTACAATGAAACGTTTGCTGGGGTAGTCACTCACACAACCATCGAAACTCTCCTAGCTGTTGCAGCAAACAAGAAAATGAATTTTCAACATCTGGATGTTTGCAGAGCTTTTCTTTATGGCGATCTGTCTGAACAACTATATATAGAACAACCTCCAACATTCCAAGTTCCTGGAAAAGAACATCTTGTATACAAATTACAAAAGAGCATTTATGGTTTAAAACAGGCCACCAGAGCATGGAGTGAGAAAGTGAACCAGCTTCTTATCAAAGAGGGATTCACTCCAGGCACTGTTGACAAATGTGTGTACAAGAGATTCAGAAATAATAAATGGACTTATATCAAAAATTATGTTGATGATCTGATCTTGTGCACTGAGGACAAATCAGACACTGAAGAGATAATCCATAATCTCAAGAAAGAGATTAATATAAAGAATTTGGGAGATATCTCACATTATTCTGAAGTGTAAATACAAGGACGCGGTGATGGTAGTTTCTTTCTGAATCAAAAGGAGAAGATAATGGATCTTCTGGACCATCTTGGTCTAAAACAGGGGTAGGCAACCTTTCTCCTTTAAGGGCTGAGGGACTTCAGCTCCCAGAATCCCAGGAGCTATTGGCCAACATGGGACTATTGGCCAACATAGCTCAGGCTTCTGGGAGCTGAAGTCCCTAGGCCCTTAAAGGGGAAAGGTTGCCTACCCCTGGTCTAAAAGATGCAAATGTTATGCCAACTCCAATGGAAGTAGGATTCTTAAAGGACATTAAGAAATCTGAACCTCTACAAAATGGAGACAAGTATAGGACCACAGTTGGAAAACTCCTATACATAGCCAATTTCACCAGACCTGATATTGCAAATGCTGTTGGTATCTTATGCAGAATGGTCAACTCTCCTACTAAGAGAGATTTCATAGCAGTGAAGAGAGTTGCCAGATATTTAAAAGAAACTGCAAATTACAGAGTGATGCTGCCATCCTGTAATCAACCACAACTGATCATCTATGCAGATGCTGACTGGGCTGCAGATCTGGCAGACAGAAAATCAACCTGAGGAAATCTGACCTTCAATGGTGAAGGAGCTGTAAGCTAGACAAGTAAGATTCAACCCACATTTACAGAGTCTCCTACTGGTGCTGAGTGTTTTTCAGCAAAGGTAGCATATGATGATGATGGCTGCACAACTTACTTCTAGACTTTGGATATATAAACTCTATGATTCAATAGAGATGGATATATTGACAAATTATTTGAGAGATAAATGTATGGAGGAGGGGCTTAGTGAGTGGTTACCAATTCTAAACTATCTTAAAAAACAGTGGGGCGATTTGGTGACAATTATCTTTTATTTTAAAAATTAAAGACCCAATTTTTAAAAACAATTCAAATTACTACCTAAGGGAGAGCAGATCATGTTGGTGTAGTAAAGATAAGGCCAATCAAAATGAATATTGAATAATAAGACAACTTTGGGAATTTGGTGTAAAGGGTAAATAATAGTATACAAACACACACACACACATATGATAATGTAAGAGTGAGAAAGAACGTAGTTAAAGATAGGAGACAGTAAGCATTGATTATAATGAGGTGTTGTAGTATATACACAAACAGATCGAGTAACAACTAGAGTCCAAATATAAAGAAGGAATCTTTCCCCCCCTTGTTTCTTCTTCTTTTAATTTTCCTTTTTCTGATGGTAACATAAAACTAAGTATTAAGGAGGACAACAACGATTGCAGATAATCCAGTGAGGACAAGTGAGAAGTAAGTGTGATTGGTAAGATGAAAGGAGAGGTATTAAGGAGGGGACAGAAGGTTAGTAAGAAGGTATGAGTAAGTAGTAGAGGGTGTGCGAATGTAGAGGATGAAGAAGTAGAAAGTCTAAAAGAAATGGAGAAGGGTAGGGATAGAGAGGGAAGATAGAGGAAGGAACATATGAGTGAAGGTGAAAGAGTAATAGAAAGGAAGAGGAAGGAATGGTGGGAAGGAGAATGTGCAAGTGTTATGAGAGAAGAGCAGTACAATCATAAGAACTGATACGTTATTAGAAAAGAAAGTTACCTGAATCAATCTTTAGTAGCATTGGGATTAATAATGTAATGTAATGTAGGTACATAGCAAGTATGTACAAATATTAGATTGTATGTATGTGTGTTTGTATGTTTTAATGTGTTTTTTTCTTTCAGTAAAATTATTTAAAAATAAAACATCACATCTTACCAAAATTTCACTTTAATGACATGAATCAATGTATGTGTAAATATATGTAGGTGGTGTGTGTGATATTGTAATTTAAATATATAATTTTAATTTTGCTAGTTGTGTATGTTACAATTATTACCATTACATTCAGTGATATACAGGCATTATATCCACTGGTGGAAAATGATTAAATGACTGTTGTGAGTTTGATACCAGCCAGGGGCTCAGGGTCTACTCAGCCTGGCATCCTTCCAAGCTCACTAAAATGAGTATTCAGTTTGTTGGGGGCAATTAGCTTAAACACTGTAAACCACTTAGGAGTGCTTAAGTGCACTGATAAGTGATATAGAAATGTACTTGCTTTTGCTAATGCTATTGCTATTATTTATGAGTAACTAGTACTACAAAATTTACTAAGGATTCTGTATAGTGTGGTATGG